TTGTAAGGGTGAATTTATATATTTTGAACTCTACTTTTCACTTGACATTCCGAAATTGAATATATATGATATAAATTGAGAAAACATAGTAAAACACGTTATAGTTAAGAAAATCATACGAAACATGTGTCGTGCGTGAATACTATTTCGCTCAATTGACAGAGAGGGTCCCCTCTCAAGGCTTCGTCGCACGTGTGTGACTCAGCCACGTGAATCACTTTTTAGATAAGCCGAATCGAATACAATCGGCCCCTGTGTTCTTACAAGACAGAACTGCAACTTTCTCCAGAATCTAGTGCGCAGCCTTCGCGTTAAATCAGGATCAATTAATTGCAGACCGACGAGCCGCGCGCGTATTCGCGCAATCGCATACGGTAATAATTGATGGAAAATCGATTGTTAATTAAAGGATGGAAAATTGATAATTAAAGAATCTGTTGTAACAGTTATCTAACTCATCCATTTCAATGAAATCGATTTAAATCGATAAATTACGCAAATAGTGAAACCGAATTAATTTAAAAGATTAACGAAGATAAACCGAAATTAAACTGTTCTTTAAAAAATTAATGTTCTCAAGTTTTTACGATTGTTTGTGTCTCAATTAAGAACCGCAATATGATGCGATCGTGGCATTCAACCCATTGTTTCCGTTGCCATAATGATGTTATGATATCCGCCCTGTCAATTCCTTATTCAATCGAGTCTACGCAACACCGTAATTACTTAATTAATATCGTGGAAAAAAAACATGGCCGTTTGGATCAGACATGCGCAACAAAAGTCGCATAACGAGGGACATTATTCCACTTGTTATTCTCGCAACTGTATGTGCCAGCTCTCACGTTAATAAACCGTCGTAAATGTCCGAAGACACATACGCGCGCGCGTAAGGAGTTTCACCTCGGATTCTCCGCGACGGAAATAGAGTGCGTGGTGCCTGTGCGTGCGTCAGGCAGACGTTATGTCGGTGTGTGCGGGCTAAACCGCGCGGAGTTTCTACAAAATTATTTATAGTATTGTTATTGCGCGTGGAATTATGCAAGGACACATGCACTGATTTTCACATTATTGCATATTGACCTGGCATTGAAAGGGCCTTGAAAGATTAATTGGACGCAGGAGTGTTAATTGAATCTCGCTCGTTGATTCGTTAATTCTTTGTGAATTCGCAAAATTTCTCGGTCAGTTAACACGCGATGTTCCACCATAAAGTAATTGCGTAATTGTCAAAATATTGACACGATGTAGAGAGGAAACATGCAATTTGTGCAATTCGCGTTGTAATATACTGTTTATTTTCCTGCAGCAAATTATTATAATATTCGTTATATTTGTTGGTCGCGTTTTCACGAGTTGGTATTCTCGTTGGAATCATAATTAAAACGTCGTCTCTCGTTGCTTTTGTTCGGAATTTCGCCTGAGATCCCGGAATTTACTTTAGCAATCATTTTTTTTTTACTCGTAGAAATAGTTTCTAGAAATGAGATCCGGGCAGCGTTTTAAAGTGGTCACCTGTAAAGTATGTACGTTTCGTCAGTTGTGTGATTATACGGTGAACGCGGCCACCATAAAGGCGGGCAGTGGGTGCTAATAATACGAGCATATGGCGTCGCGGCAGGTGGCACCGGCAATAATATATCGGCAGCTGTTGCTGAATATCGGCGTACGTGTGTTATCGAACTCGGCACGACTGGCTCTCCTCGTTTCGACGCTTTCGAGGACCATTGAGATCCATTCGCTGAAGCGTCTGCTTGGAAGATGTTGCGTAGTCAATAAGCCGTTTAATAGCTTCGACAAACTTTGCCAAAAAACGCTTTTATATATAAAAACAAAAAACATTGCGATATGCAGTGAATATAAAACTCATTTATTTCATTATTAATTTCAGGATGTTAAATTATTTTTATTGAATAGAGTTAAATATTCTCCTTTTTTTTTGGGAAGATAGAGATTTTTTTTTTATAAATACCTGAAAGATATAAAAAAAGCTTATTCAAGCATTTTTAACGCGACTGAGAACTCATTCTGGATTTAAATAAATGTTGTAAACAATTTTTCTATCTTTATACGTTCGCGTGCGGGTATTTTCGCGCGTTCCGATTAGCTCGACGTGCATCCAAAGTCACGATCGCGCCCGTCACACCGAAAATACGCTAAATATAACGGGCGAACCTGCTCGTCTAGCAGCTCGAAACCGAAGCGTTTTGCGATATTTCCTTCTCCAGTCTTTCACCCGGACCGCTGCGCTGGGGTTTATATTTGGCGGAGAAGACTGCCTGTGTGCTCCCCGTCTCTTTCTTTCTTTCTTTCTTTTTTTTTTTTCTTTTTGAACACTTTCATCCTCAGATTTTTTCCACCGCTCGCGCTTGAAATTAGACGCTTAAAATTAGTGGACGAGAGAGACGAAAAACAAGTCTCTCTCTCTCTCTTTCTTGTGGAGACACGCGACGCCTCGGTAACGTTTCTCGAAGAGCACAGAAAAGTCGATGAGGAAGACTCTGGAGGAACGTAATTTGAGAGCCTACATCCGCATTACTTTTAAACCGCGTTTTACGCCACTCCGCCGTTTTTCCTCTCCTCGCCGCGTCTCGTTAAAATCGTATTCATTCTGCCGCCATTCGAATGGAACCAAACTCGAAATAGAACGGTTCGGAACAAGTCTCGAGCGAGAGCACTCCGCCTCAGCGACTTCGATGCGTCCGGATTGTTGACGATAACCGCAACGATCTTGCGCGCGTAAAAAGTGTTTTTCTCTTAAAAAGAAAAAAAAATTAATGCGGTCACTACGCACGCACGAGTTTATAATCTTCGATGATTTGAAGTCGAGTCGATCAAAGTGTTGATCTGGCGTTTAAGGGATTATCGTGATTATCGCGTCGCACGGGTCGCGCAATTAACTCACGATCGGCACGTTAATAATTCCCCGTTCGACCGTTTAATCGAACCGGCGGGATTACGTCGGGGCGCCTCGCAGTGACATTCGATAACTAAATCACGCCGGTATCTCGATGTCGCACAGAGCGCGATCACCGCGCATTCGGCGGAGCGAACGAGCGTGGTAACGCGATCCCACGCTCGCAACGCGCTTCGCTGATCGATGAAGCTATCGCGGATTGAAGATGAAATTATTTCACGGAGACCATAAAATATCGATCCCGCGACCGATCGTGCGCGTCTCTCCGACGCTCGATTGAATTTCCTTTCCTCGGATATTTTTAAAAAAACTCTGGCTGCGACGTGTTGCTCGCTATTAAATTTGTTTTTTTTTTTTTTTATACTATTTTATTTTCCACTTTTAATTTAGACGATTTTTTCACCATTCAATTTCTTTTCCATTTTTGCTAATAACAAAAATACGCGCGCTTCTATTTGTATTCACGATTTGCAGAGTTAAACAAAGAGACATGTATGCGAGACAAGCACGAGAGGTACGAGCCATGTGCTTAAGCTTCGCAGAAGCGAATCGGGGTTAAATTGAGATATATATGCGTGAAACGGCCGATTACATTCGCGAGACATGAATAAGTCGCAATCTTCCCTAATGAAGATCAGGAGAAAATACGCTTTTACGCGCGACCGCTTTTCGCGCGCAGCTGGAGAAATCCGCTTGGTGCTCGACTCACGTTAACTTTGCAGAAGCGATAATTTGTCTGCACGCGGCTAATCGCGAGTGGAGAATCGCCACTTTCGAAAGCTTCGATATACCTCGTCATTAGCCAGTTTTTCTCTTCGCCTATTATATTAACGGAAAAATACCGCAGAAGAAAATCTCTCATTCAGCTTATGCTGACTCCAATTCAATAATTTAGTTGCATTGTTAATCCGGCAATAAAATTGCATAAATCTTTTTTGTGTAAGAGATTGATGTGCAGTGATCTATAAAAATTGTTTTCACTAATAATATGTTGCGCATTACGGATTGCCGTGCTTTTTATCAATATTCAGAGACATTACGGATTAAAGTTTTGTATTATTAAAAAAAATACATTTAGAAAACGGAATGCAAATGGAATATGCATAATACGTTAAGTAGCTTATTGTTACAATGATTTCTGGGGTTTAATACATTATGTCCATTTTCGGATTAAATGCGCGAGATTTAATGTAGATACGAATACCGTATCGAGTAAGCCAATAATTATCTGTTTAATATCTTCCGCGCAGACGAGACGCTTAGAGTTACACAGTATCGATGCGAGTACTCGTGTCGAGTGACAGTGACGATATCTTGGCCGGTCTGCAACGAGCTTCTGCGCCGAAGATCCATTGCGTGCTCAGTGAGACACGTGGACGTATTTCGTTTCCATTTGCTCAGCAGCGCGTATATACAGTAGACCGTTCGACCTACTCGCCTCGATCTCTCCGCTCTCGGCACGTTCGCGACACGCGCGGAACTTCTTCTCGCGCTTCTTCATCACGTGTCTATCGATTGTGTTCGCGCCTCGGGGAGAAACGAGCGACTCGGTGCAATCAACGTCGCGAAAACGGGCAATCGAACGTCTATATTGACGAACAAGTAGCCAATAACGCTCGGCGACATTAACGGGAGGAAATTGATAAACGCAGAAGTATCGATGTTCCGACCGTATCTCGTGCAAATTCGTAATTAATAGTAATATTGAATATCGATATTAAAAGAAGAGGAGAAGCGTTTAATTGCTGTGTAAAAATAAAACTGTGCCAGATTAAATTAAAAAAAAAATTAGAAATTAAATTAACCGAATGAAAAATAAAATTCTACACACCTTGCTGCTCTTATAAATTATAATATTTTATCTACTAAGAAAAATTGTTCATAAACAACTCGTTTCTCCAAAGCTATGACAATGGACCGCACAGATTGCTACCTTCCGTATATTTTCTACAAGTTTTCTCTGCTGTCTCTCGTGGGATTCAAATCCTCATCGAAGGACTCGATGCAATTCTGCCGGGACACCTATCTATGAATATAAATCAAGCATCGGGTGAATTATCGAGCATCTATAATTTTGTTGCAGACGTCGAGAGATGACAGGACGTCGTCGAGCCCCGGCGGTGGTGCGGCCAGCAATCACACCCCGGCGCTGTCGCCGTCGCCGGTGGGCGACGCGCCCGTCGGCAGGGCGCTCATGGAAGCGGCTCTGCAGCAGCAGGCCGCGTCCGGCGCCGAGCCGCCCTTGGTCGTGATGCCGTCCGGATACTGGGTAGACGGTACCGATCACCGGCATACCCTCGACTCGGCCGGCAGGGCGTTGCTTCCGGCGCAACCAGCCTGGCAGCCCAGGATAGACCAGGACGACACGGCCAAGTGCTATCGCCGCTTCTTCGTCGGCAGGGTAAGTCTCTTTTTTTTTTTACGAGATTTCTTTTAAATCTCGAAAACACACGGTCTTTTCGCACGGCAGAACGCAAGAGACAAAAATTTAATTCTCTCGCGTGCGAAGAAGCTCGAAATGTTAACAGGATATTTGCACATTCGAAGAGAAATTATAATTCCATCCTTTTGCAAAATAATATAAATTTTAATGAAGTAAAAAGCGCGAGAATGTAAATTCGAAGGTATAACGCGATATGCAGATTATCTTCACGTGCAAAGCGAACTTTCTGCAATACGACGTTTTGAGTCTATAGATTGGAAAAGTTAAAAAAAATGGAGAGTTTGATGTAACTATATTCCGTGCGAAAGGTAACAAAAATGTGATATGCAAATATCCGAGCGTTGAATTATTCTGGTAATAGGAATACCAGGTGCAATCTATGTCGATGGAGTACGCGGTGATGGCGTGTCTGTAATAACTTTTCTCTATAATCAATTTTAAAGCCTCTCGCATATCACTAGCGTATTTCCTATTAATCGTCGCTGGCCTTATTGTTATGCTGCAATTATGTATATTTTACAACGATCTATTTTCATATAAATTCTAAAAATTTGCAAAAACATTGTCCCTCATTATACTAAAGTAATTCCTCATCATTCTGAATAACAAAATAAAAGAATTTTCAAGAAATGGGAAATATAAATCTGAGATATCAAAATACAAATTTTATTTAGTTTTTTTTTTGAGGAGATCAAAATTATTTGTATAATTTATAAAAGTAGTATATACACATAAATTGTTCACATTTGTACACGTTTTATTATGTCTATTTCGAGATCTGGAAAAGCGCAAAAAATATCAATCTATTATCCGTAAATCCGTATCTGTATTTCATATTTTCCGACCGTCCTTTGTCGAATGATCTCGCTTTATCCAGCTTGTCGTCGTCGTAGAGGCACTTCGTGAACGTTATTCCGCTCCTGAAATCGTATTCGAGCGCAAGAACCATGATGAGCCGCGATCGCTCAACCGGGCGTACGTAGGTGTGCAAGGAAAGAAGGACGCGCGCGGTAGAGACGGAGATGGAGAGAGGGAGAAAAGGAAGAGTCACGGGCGCGGGCGGACGGCCGGTGGCGAGAAGGGCTGAGGGAGGGAAAAGAGGCACGTAGGAAAAGGAAAAGAGCACTTTGGACGTGGGAGTGGGAACGTTCTCATAGTCTCCACCGAGAGTCCGACGCCGAGAGGGAACCAAGAGGGAATCCTCCTCTCGTCCTTCTCCTTCTCCGATATTCATCCGTCGTCGTTTTCACGATCCCTATCCGCGATTTTCTTCCGCTTCTTACGCTTCTGCTATACCCTTTTTCCATCTTTCTTTATCTCTCTTGACGGTGCTCCTCCTTTTCCTCGCCGAATCATCGTCGTGATGCGGCGAGGAATTTCCCTCGGAAATGACGAGAGGCGTACACACTAAGACAGACAGAGAGAGAGGAAAAGAGATGCGAGACTTAATGCGTGTGTAAATTGCACGAGAATATCCTTAAGCAAGAGAGAGGAGGTATATGTGCGGCGTACCAAGCCGCTGGTCGAGGAAAATCCGTAATTACAGAGTCGCTAAGAATATGGAACTGGAGAAAGTATCTCGCGAATATAAATTTAGAATTTAAAACGCGTTCCAACAGCGAAATCAGCAATATCGCAATAAATTATTTTCTATTATTCCTATCATCATCGACTGTTTATTTGCCGTCAAGTCTTGAATCACGATTATTATTGTAGTATCTTCTTGCGCGTATTACGAGCGTTACTGCTTGGTGAGTCTGCTAATTAGCGAATAGTTAAGTCGTGCATAGATCGTAAGAAAAAGGAGCACGCTATTTTCCGCTTCCGGCACTGAGCGTTTTTTCTAGATAAAGTTCTCGACGGATGAGTTCCCGTTCCGCCTATTGTTACTCGGCTGCGTTACCTCTTGCTCGATGCATGCTTGCATTTCATCTTTCTAACTCGCAAACGCTAAAATCCGTAACTTTGTGAAGTCATGTTTCCGCGCGAAAACGCGATGCGTTAAGAAAATCGGACCGAAATTCTGAAAATATTTCAAATATGACAAAAATTATTTGACAAAAATATGACGATATATTCTTATTGCATCTTCAATATTCAAGACATTAGAAGTATTTAAATAGAATTTAAAGCTGGCGCGCCGTATCTGCGATTCAAGAAACGTATCTTTGGAAAGAATTCAGGAAAAGAAAATTTCTAATTTCTTATCTCTTCTGCCAATCGCTATGAAAAATTCAACGGAGAAAAAAATGTGGTGAATGCAGTTGTATTACATAACCGTTATAAGCTAGAGATTCGATTAGGCGAATCCGTCAAAATTGAATATCCGCGGTCTCGCCGCGAGAAAAGAGAGTCGTTGGTCTCTCTCTCTCTCTCTCTCTCTCTCTGTATATCGCATCTAAAAATAGTGCGACGTTAAACACACACCTCTGCTAGTACGCGATACACCGGTATCGCGTGTTTCGCCGTAATGCCGTTTGTTGTTGCGCGCGCGAAGAAAGAAAGAAAGAAGCCGGGGTCACACACGTGCAAGAAAGAAGCGATTACCTGTGGGAGATAACAACGGTGGTGCGCGCGAGTAATTCGAACCGTAGTTCAACAAACGGTTACACCTCGAAGCCGATCATAACGGCTAACGATATCAATCGAGAGTCGGAGAACAAAGGAGGGACGCGGAGTAAAAGTCTTCTGGCTGCTTACAATAGGAAGGCGCGCCATCGGCAAGATCGTGTAATGGCAAGTCGGCCGATATTCCTTGCTGTTTAACAGATTTCACCCGATAAGGCAAGAGGCACGCGTATAGACACTTCGATAAGAATTAATGTACGCGCAGATGTAAAAGTCTATAAAAATCCCGGGAAGATATAAGAAGTATTATCTTTGCCTTTCAAATCTATGTGAAGCGCTGCCGTTATCTTTTAAATCTGTATGAAACATTGTATTATCTTTGCTTTTTAAATTTATGTGAAGCGCTGTGTTATCTTCGCCTTTTAAATCTACCCGAAGCACTGAAAACACTGCAGGATTAAGTTTTGGTAAATTTTCAGCTAAATGCGTAAAAAGTTGATCTGTTAGCTTTTAAAAGGGAGTTATATTATGTGCAATAAAAGTCTTCCGATTTCACATAATATTCACATTTTGCAAAATGTTTTATAGAATTATGTCTATTTTTTTAATAAAGCACAGTGCATACTAATATTTATCTTACTTATTAAAAAAGGTATTATCTTCGGAATTGCTGTAATTTCATCGCACGTTTTTTCCATCTCAAAGTTCATTTTGTTTGACTTAGTTTAGGGGTTGTGCTTTTAGTATCATGCTCGGCATTAAGATATTTTTAAGCATTTATTTGTGTTGGAATTATTTCCGGCGCAGATGATGATTTTAATTCCAAATTGCTTTATAAATTTCAGTTTTAATTCGCGATAAATTTGCACCTCATAATTTTAATTCAATTACAATTTAATCTCGCCGAAAGCCAGCCCTAGCGACTTGATATTATTACATTTAATTAATTAATAACAATAATATCAATAGTAATAACGATAAAATAATTATAAATGTACGTACAATAACTTCATGTCATGAACTCCTGTGAACTCCGGGCGCGTTGCCCTTTCTAGCCCCTTCCACCATTTCCATCCGAAGGTTAGTAAAACACCGTGGGGTGGGGAGTAGTGTATGCATTTCATCGTGTGCATTCTATGCGACCCGACCTTTCGTGCATCTCTCCGTACCGGAGCATTTGCGCTTCGCGTGTGCAACACGCACGGTCAACGACGATGCACCGTTTTTATTCGCCATCGTCACCGCCGCCCGCGCACCATCGCGGCTTCGTAAAACGGCGGAAACATTCGCTATTCGCATCGCGGCCACTTTTATGGCTGTCTACTGTAAAAGTTACCGTGCCCGAGAAACGCAAAAGAACCCTGAAAAGAGAACTGTCTTTTTTTTTTTCTTTTCGCACGTCGAGAAGCCTCACAAACGTTGCGGAGTCCGTGATCGCGCACCTTCCAGATAAATTAAATAAAGAAACTTGAGTAAATTTAACCGAGTCGACACCTGTATTTGAAACATGGCAGACGGTTGATGTGTATTTTGACATTTTTATATTTTCACGAGCGCCAGTTTCTTTATATAAAATTACAATGTTTTCTTTGCGCGATGCGGACTGGCCGCTTCATTAGCTCCGAATAATCATTCGAGTGCTTCTCGGTAGATCTTTTATCAACTGCAATTTGTGAAACTTATTTTTGCAATTGCGAGATATGAACGATGTATTCTTGCAATTGCAATTATAAGAGGTATAGATATCATTATTGATAATTTTAACTCGTTTCCGCTTCGTAGATTCAACGTCGGGCCGCGACGAAAAGGCTGCTATCGGCCGAACTGATACTGATAAACTCGCCGAAGATTATTTACGTAATACTGTTGCCCTCAATTCGTCGACTGGCACGAGACACGCGCTTAACTATACTTTTGCACGCATGTATTACTACGTAATACGGTGCGTTCAGGGCCGCAATCACCTACATACGGATACTTTTATCTTACTCGCGGCAATTTCGCAATGTCTAATTGAATCCGGAACGCGTGAACTACCATAATTGTTCTAATGTCTGTCGCATCGGCGCGTGCACGGCGAGCTCGTTGCGACATCGACACATCCGTTAATTAATGCATTTTTTCCAGCCAACAAATTGATTTACGATATACTGAGTTTTGCAATAATTGAAGTTCAAAGGATAAAGAATTTCTTGTACTGGAAAATTTTTTAATAGAGAATCTAATAGTATAATTATTTCATTCTTATTTTGTCAAGTTGATAAAATTACAAAAATTTCAGAGAATTCTTTGAATTATTTACTACTAAGAACTTTATTAAAAATATAATAAAATTTTGAAAATTTTTAGTAAAATTATATTAGCAAAACGCTGGGGAAACGTTTTAAAGATCTTGGGTTCTCTAGATTTTTTTAAGGAAATTTGGACTAAGTAGAACATTATTATTTCTACTAAAATCTTTCCATCTCGTTTGATTTAAATTTTTGTACTCTCAAGTACTGCTCTGCATGCTTTGCATGTTTCCCATAGTTTTTCCATATTTTAATGATTTTTTTGGAGATACGGTATTGTGTCGGAACTGGAAACCGCGTGGCTAATTAATTGTTTCCATAATTATCCTACACAACCGTGAAGCACCGCGTCTTATCGGCTTCTTCTTGCTTGTCCGCAGGAGCACGTGAACCTCGTGGGAAGGGACGGTGAGAACGGCCCGGTCCTGGTCTCGGTGAAGGCCGAGACGGTCGCCGGACAGGAACATTGGCGAGTATTGCTGCGACTGCGAGCGGGATCGACGCACGACTTGGTGCCGGCCGCGAATCTCAGCTCGAATCCCACGCCGACGAAAATGGTCAAGGTAAAGGCAATCGTCATTCACTTACGGCAACGACTCTTTCAGGTCTTTCAGCATTGCGTCAGGCGATAAAAATTCAAATTAAAACGCCTCCGGAACGTATATAAATTCGCACACATAAAGTTGTCGAGAAACTTGAAGAGAATTAGCATATAGTAGTACGTAAGAGAGTTTAAATTCAAATTACTGCTAATTATATAAAGTTAAACGTATAAAATGTGCAAAATTAGGATATTCATTCATAGGTTTGTATACGTTCTCTGACATTTGAGCGACGTCAAAAAATTGATGGAGTATTTTTGTAGAAGATTATTCCATTCCTTGAATTCTGCGGTGAAATTTATGAAGAAAAAGAAATACCGTTTTCAACTCTTGTGCAATATATCATGTGTTGTTTACGTATCGGAGACGTCGCTTATACTGGGTGGCGCACTCGAGACTGGCATACTCGATTACCTGTGTGTGTTTGAAGAGATAATAAGGAACGCCTGGGCCAACAGTCGCGTTGTGTTTACGGAGAGGCGATATTAATACGGGCAAAATAAAACGCTCCAGCGGACCCCAGTTTTTTCGAAGCTGTTTTAAGATCAAACAGTTGCTCGTGCAATTGGATACTTCATAGCAAGGAGCGAGAGCTCGGCTAGGTGAAGGTTGCCGCTTATGAGCGATACGACGTTACCTCGTATTTGAATTATTAACTGTAGTTAGACAAGCTATGCAATGTAATCGCATGTGTACATTAGTTTTTACTTAGCTCTACACTTCCGCGAGAAAAATACCGAGACGCAATTGCAGTGACGAGAACAATTGTTACATGCGTGATTTCAAAAATTCTCGAGTCGACTGTAGTCCGGACATTTTTTCAAGTAAATCTGAAACTCACAATTGGAAAAAAATTTAAATAAGGATTAAACAAGAAATAAATTTTTGGAGGAATAATCGTTATTTATAATTATTCAAAAACAGATATATTTTTTTTAAACCGACAAAAATATAGCAGTGTAAAAGAGAGATTACGTTAATTTCGTTTCTTTCTATATGTTCATTTCGCGCGCAATCTGTCTTTAAGTTATTTAAATTTTGTAGGATCGTGAGAATGTCGGTGAAATATTCAGGCGCGTTTAAAAAAAAAATGTACAAAACATTTCCCAGATGGATTGTTAAAGATTCGTTAGCTCCGGGCGATGGAAACACTATATCCGGCTTTGGTTCCTATACTCTGCAAAAACGCATAAACACGCTGAATTATTTAACGTCCGCCGTTCTGTGCATGCTTTATCTCTCTCACTGTTCGTTGCGCGATCGACAGGAGGAAGCGAGAAAGGGAGGAGGAAAAAGAGAGAAAGAGAGAAAAGCGTGTCGGTGCGATAAAACACAGGAAAGACCTTGCTTCGATTTTTTTTTCACAATCGCGTGCGAGCGCGATTACGCATTTGCGCCTCATGTCCCCTCATCGATAAATATGTTTCCAGGCGATCAATGAATCTCTAAATGTGAGCACCTTGATGCCGGTCATGTGTCCCGGCGCCGGCACCTTGATAGCCCGATACGACGAGCACGCCCTGGTCTCCAGGTTCAAGTTCGGCGTTCTCCATCAGCGAGCCGGCCAAGTAACCGAAGAGCAGCTCTTCGGCAATCGGCAGATAACGCCGGCATTCCAGGAGTTCCTCGACCTGCTGGGCCAGAAAATCGATCTCAAGGATCACAAAGGGTAAAATCCTTTCTAATAAATTAAAAGATTTTTCCAAATCACATGTTAGAAGCTTGCAATATATAATTCCTGCACGATGTATCTGTTTTTCTTTTTTCATATAAGTTTGGCAAAAAGTCACTAAAAAATTGCTATTCTGAATTTTTGCCTGATAGAAATATCGATAAGATTGCCCTTTCACAAAATCTTATTTATTTTTGTTTGATTTTATTTTCTAATTTAATGATAATATTTTAGTTATCGCGGCGGTTTGGACACTCGACACGGCCAGACCGGCGATTCGGCGGTGTACGAGGTATTCCGCGGTCGCGAGGTGTTATTCCATGTAGCCTCGCTGCTACCGTACAGTCCGGGCGACTCGCAGCAGTTGCAACGTAAACGGCACATCGGCAACGACATCGTCGCCATCATATTTCAGGAGGAATCGACGCCCTTCAGCCCGGACATGATCGCTAGCCACTTCTTGCACGCCTTCATCGTCGTGCAAGTCATCGACCCCTGCACTCCTAATACGAGGTATATATTCTTCGATTTCTCTCTTTACACGCTGCCCGCTCTGAACAGTTCATTCACCGAAACGTATATCCGAATGTCCTTTGTCGATCCTGCAGACTTTTTCTCGTTCGACTGTCGGACGATGCGAAAAATTGGTGAACAATGGATGTGATTTAATTCTATGCATAGGTACAAAGTCAGCGTAACGGCGCGCGACGATGTTCCCTGGTTCGGACCGACCCTGCCGACACCGGCGGTCTTCCTGCGCGGTGTCGAGTTCAAGGAGTTCTTGCTCACGAAGCTCGTTAACGCCGAGAACGCCGCGTACAAGGCCGAGAAGTTCTCCAAATTGGAGGTAAATCTCTTAGCTTAGTTTTCTTGCTTGTTTCGCCAAATGAAAACCTTGAGAAATGTTCTCATGTAACGGCGTCTAATAGCTTTATCGCTGTGATTATTTCTGGCGACATACGAAACTTTTGTAGCGGTTAAACCAACTGTGCAATTTTCAGTTGCGGACTAGGTCAGCCTTGTTGGAATCCTTAACGGAGGAATTGCAGAGCAAGACAGCCGAGTTTCTCGGCGGCCAGATCGGCCTGGGGAATTCCGGTTTGAATGTTTGCCCGGTGAGCCCGACGACGAACGATGTCTCCACTTCGGGAAGCAGCGGTAGCGGCTCGCGATTCATCGACACCGTACGCAAGGCGCTGATCTCGCGCGTGAGAAATGCGTCGACGGAGAGCGTGCCGCAGCAGCTGGCCAAGAAGGGTCAACAAACGGAGTCCAGTCCACCGAGCAATCGGCAGTCGACCACCGTAAAGGTGAGTTGTGTGGAATAAAATCCTTTCTGAACGATTGACTGATCAGAGAAAAGAAATATAAACGAAATTACACATGGCAAATATATGAAAAATACTGAACTGTATAAACCAAGTTTTAATATATTACAATAGTTGAAATCAAATGAGACAAAATGAATTGAAAGATAAACTCTCGCGTCAAGGTGAGCGGCAGCAAGCGTTCAGTGGAGCCGTCCAGTCCTCTCGGCTCGCCGGATCTGACTCTGAGGAGAGACTCGGAGCGCGGCAGTCTCGGCAGCCAAGACAGCAGTCTCTCCAACACCGACAATCAGGACAGCAGTCTGGTGACGTTGCAGCAGGACGAGTACGATCGCAGGGAGTCGCAGAGTGCGGGCGTCGTCTGTCTCGACAGCGACACCACTGTCGTTGACAAAACCCCGACGCCCACGTCAACAACGGTGCAGCGACTAACGCATGAGAATCTGCGCACGCAGGAGAAGACAACGACGACGGAGGTGACGCAGCGAGTGATCTCGGAAAGCGACGACAGTTCGCTCAACAGCGAACTCGAACTCGACCAGGCTGTCTATCCCGATAGCGACACGGGCCTCGAATCTATGAGCTCCGCGGAAACTCATGACACCACGAGGTGTACGAGCAAGGACGGAGTTGTGGAGAATGAGACCCTGAGGATGGAGGTCACAAGGCTCAAATGCGACAAACTGGACTTATTGAGGCAGAATGTGGTATGTTACGAAGTAGATCAAATCGAAAAACTATAAAACATTTTAATTTATTAACAAAAGCTTTAACATAACGAAACTCTATTGTAAATTTTATATTAATGTGCTATCAAAATGATATTTTATATACAGACAATTCTGGACGACACAAATATGTTTCAGTAATGCCAAGAAATTTTGAAGTGGCAGAAGATGCTATTTTTGTATTTTGATTTGCTTTAAATTGCAAAAGAATGTACAACATTTTTATTTATTGCAGACGTGCCAACGTGAATTGAAACGTCGTCGAGAAAAGGAACTGCAACTGGAATCCGATTTAGCAGCAGCGTCCAAGGAGATTTTACGACTGCGAGCTATGTTGAAGGAATGTTCCACGAGCATTCCGCTGGACAACAATAACCAGCAGACATCTACGGTGTGAAGTTCGCGGGCGGTTGCATGCTTTTAGGTGCGATTACAAATTGCGTTGAGATAGACGACTTATACGGTCGAAGACTGCGTGTTGTTGAAAAATTTATCTTTCACATGCGAAGTAAGTTTCTTCTTTATTAGAAATCATCGCGATCACGCGACTTGCACGTTATTTCTTTTTTTTTCTTGCGTTATTTTTGCGCACTGTCCGATATCGAGATTATTCGAACGAAATAGCGCCAACAGTCTAAGAAAAAATGCACCGAAAACATCAAGTAAAAGATCAAGACGTCGTTTAAGAGACAAGTCTCGATACTTAAATGTACCTTCCGTTTGTCACTTCCAAAGGTCTATCATGATTGCTCCGTAAGAGCATGTAGAATTTGCAAACGCTTCACCGCGCAGATAATCGTGCAAACCGACCTTTCCTTCCGCAAGGCAGGGATCGGTAGAAGTTCTATAAGTCATACGAGATAGTAGGATTGGCGCAGACCCCGCGGAAATGCGTGTAGCGACCGAAGCATTCTCGAACCACACTTGCAGTATAGATTGTTAGAGCTCTTGTTTGACTTACAAGACGTGCACACAATATTTATCTATTAATTTATTCGTAGACTTAAGTTGACCACTCGTAGTCAATATGCGTACGTGGACATAAAGGAAAAAAAAAAAAGAAAACCAGTAGAGCTATATGTAATGTTTAGTCGCTTTAGGACGAGGCGCAGATTCAGCTACTCTCGAGGAAAGAGAAACAAATGTCGCGAAGCATCGCGGCGAGAATACGTTGCGTCTGTGTGTATCGATTACGTGTTAGGAGAGTCGATTAATCCGTTAACTCCCCCGCTTTATTCTTCCGTAGCGCGGACCACTCGGTTACACACGATCGGGCAAAGACCTCTTCCGGACTACTTGGACAATGCGATTTCGCACGGTCGCGGGACCCTTTCGTCACGCGATCACAGAAAGAAATATGTATCGCTAGTTATACAGTATTTGTCACGGTAGACTTAGCCCGAGACACACTTACCCCGTTTACTAGTTTCCTAGTATTAGACGCTAGTTTTAGTGAGCACTTGTACGAGGTTTAATCATCGTCGAAAACACTACCACACCCTTTCCCCCGGCCGCTAGCTTTAGCGGAAACTGGTTTCTAACAGTTTTTAACCGATCGCGCGCACAGCACCAAATCGTTTAAGTGTATATGCATTACACGTTTCACGAAGTGTCGATACTCTATCTCGCACGCGCAGAGAGGGGCGCGTTTATCATTCACCGTTCACCGTCTTTGAGTATTTTTTTTTTTTTTATTCGTTCTTGGTTGAGACGAGTGTCAATCCTTCTGTTATCTTTTATGGCTAGTATTAATACGATTCTTACCATTATTATTATTGTCATTGCTATTATTATCAATACTTTTATTAACACCGATTACGTTGTAATGTATGTTCTTTGTAAATAATCGTTGATATAGATAACTTGAAGGCGCTAAGCGGACCGGCACAAAGAGGAGGAACAGCGACGTTCACTCACACATAATACCAAAGTTTAATGTAGTAAAATTCACACTTTTCTTTTTATTTTCCTCATTCTCCTTATTTTATCCCGCTTTTTTCCGTTATTGTTGCGGGTTTCCGGCTAAAAGCGAGTACAAGTTTGTTTCATTGAAAACGTTTTTACAGATACTTTGCTGAAACATTATATCACTGGTTATACGATGTCGCCTCGACACTTCTCTTTCGAGAATATGTAAAATCTGTTTTATTGCTTACATAATTGACTGATTGTACACTTCAGTAAAACTTTAGTATTGAAAAAAAACATGATCTGATATACTGCTGCTTTAGTATTGATAATTTGGATCTTTTAGTTTTTTTTTTGTAAAAGTAAGAACTTTTTAATTAAAATAAAGAAAAATACTTGAAAAAAGTGAGGTATAATTTTTGATATTTTTATGAATTTTATAATTATAAGAAAAATATTATTTGTGCATTCATGATAATGAAAGATACTAAGCGCAGTATTTCGGATAGATTTATACTCGAATAAAACCAGCATTCCAATTGAAATTGTGTGGTGTTATAAAAATTATACTTTCCAAATTTAATATTTTATGTTACCCATTGATCGAAACTCAATGACTACTGTAGCACAGATTAAGTAAACTTTTATATGTATTACTGTACAAATATCCTTGAAGGCTTGTGGACATTTTCCAGTAATGTTGCGAAATATATTATTCCGGGAAGGAACGTTGATACGCGCGAGTTGTTCGAGATATACGTTGAATTGAAAGTGATGTACAAAATTGAAAACTCGTTGATCTAAAAAAAAAATAATTAAAATAAAATAAAACGTTTCGATTGATGATTGTTGATGTTATATTCGGTCGCAATAAAGTCGGCTGAATATTTATAAAGGTGATTGGATCGGACTTGACCGAGGTAATCCGAGATAAGCGACAGATAAGCCAAAGAATACTGGAAAGTCGACGTAGCGATCGAGAGTCCAAGCGAGCACGCGCACATTATCTGCATGTTTATCAGACGAGCGATTATATCGTTGTGGACATTATTATTATAAAGCATGTGATTTGGATATTTTTCGGAAAAGAAAACGAAATGTATACTCTACGTGCACCTGTTAGATATCTGGAGGATTTATATTGCGACTTGTATTTAATGCTCGTGAGAGAAACTTAGGGGGTACTTCCTTACTTTTACCAATGTACATAATGTCGAGTGTTTACGTTCGATTACGAAACGGGGATCGTTGTCCATGCGTCTCCGGGGATTTAAGTTTCACCACTCTCTAGTGTGATTTTTATGCTGGCCTTGCAAAGTCAAAGAAAGATATTATCTATATATTATAGAGAGATATTCATTATTATATATTATTAGATGAGAGAAAGAGAGAGAAGGGGGGAAAAAAGTGAGAGAAGGGAGTGAAAGCAGGAGATAGAAGATACTATTGCTACAGATGTATAAATATATTTTGTATCTAACATTAATCATTATTCACTTAACAACTAACTCGATTACTACTACTACTCTCCGATATGAAGAATATATATTTCCTACGACGCTCTGACGATACTCAGATCCGATCCTTTTCGTTTTCAAACATTTATTTCGAATATTCGTAAGTGACGTCTACCGAAACTGTCTTAGAAAATATGTTGTCGATATATACACACTTTCGAATATATCAATTACATCTGAAGGAAACTACGATCTTTATATTTGCTGTATCGTGACCTGCGTAAAAATAAATACGTGTACACGTAGATGAAAATCGTTGACACGACTGTTTCACCACTCGCAATTAGAAACTGCATACGCCGCGAATCGGGCCTCATCTCTCTGAATTCTACTAAAAGGCTTGGACCAAGAGTAAAAAAGTGTCTCAGAAGATTCAAGTCTATCGACGTCCTCGCATCGTTTAATCTCCACAGGGCAGTTGGTGCAAATTGCTAAAACGATGCTCAGCTGATCTGCGAATTATTAGAAATTGTTGATAAAGACAAAGGTATTTTGATAATTTTATCGAAATTATACAAAAGTGCGAATTTATGTAGCGAAGCCACAAATTATGCGATTGCGCCAATTGTTTTCTTTTTTCACAGGACAACAAGCAGATACTAAAATCTTTAAAGCACGATATTATAGGAAAATATGCACCGGGTATAAATGTCACTAAAAAAAATAAAAATTAGGATCACTTGATACAATCCTATGGAAAATATACCGAGCTGATTGAATTTCAATAGTGTGAAGTTATATTACACGAAGAAACGCGCAGTGTGCGCGAATTTGGCAAATTACGATGTCAGTGTATCAACAGTCTTCGAAAACCACGAGAGCAGCTCTAATTACTGGAATAATATATATGTATATAAGCATACATATTATAAAAAAAAAGAGGAAAATAAAGAATGCAAAGTAATAAGTAACTCATTCAATTTGTTTTTCAATTTACCAATCTCAAAGTATTTTGTTAAAAATTTATTTAACAAATAAATGAAAATATAAAAGCCATTAAAAATTAATTTCACATTGTAAATATTGAAACGCACTAATGCAATTTGCGCGTCATCGTTTACAGAATGCAGCCAATATTTTCTACGAGAGCGCGATCAATTTTTCGAACTGCGCAAACTCCCGCAGGAATAGCGGTCCTCGACGGTGGCTCCTCGCATGAGCGACCGCAGTCAGCGCGCAGCAGGCAGCAGCTCGCTGGCGCTCGCTCGTCTGCGGTGTAGTTTCGTGCTGTGCGTTCATATTACCGACGACATTATAGAGAAGACCGAGCGGGTGGCCGCCCGCCGAGCGGGAGACGCACGCACACAGCCAGCGACGGGCAGAGCCGGACGAACCAAAATGGCTAATTGTCAGACTGGTTGGTGCAGCAGGTGAGCGATCAGACCGCGCGATTCTCCGTCGAACGCGAGCGCGCGCGCGCCAGTGCGCGTGTGTATGTGTGTATGTGTGGGCCTGTGTTTGCCGTCGTCGGACGCGGGTGTCGACGACGTCGCCTCGTTTTCAGGAAACGCACGCGAGACGAGCCCGAACGCGGCCAAATGCGAATTCGCGACCGTCGGGAGACGTCATCGGCGACGGAGACGCGCGGGCAGAGGATCGAGGGATCGATACTCTCGCGTCGACGAGCAACCCGTACATCGCGAGGTCTTCGGAGTGTATTTCCCCGACGATGACGGGGACTTTCCTTGTCGCGAGTGCCGCGCACTGAAATCACCGTACTCTCGCTAGAAACATTCGGGGGGTTCCGGGAACACGGCGAGTGAACGACACGGCGGAAAATTGAAAAGCCGAGAAAATCACGCGGATCTCTCTCTCTCTCTCGCGGTGACGACGAGTGCCTGGCGCATCGGCGCGCGTAGATTATAATTTATTACGTTCATTCGAAAAACATACGTCCCCCCCCTTCCCTCGCCGTGTATGCGGTTTGTGTGTATGTGTGTGTGTATGTGTGTCGGTCGCTCGGTTAGTTAGTCGGCTGTGCGATCCCTCCCTCTCTCTCTCTCTCTCTCTCTCTCACTCGTCGTCTTTCCCTGTGTGCTGCTAAGCGCGCACTCGCTCGCGCGGGAGAAGTGATGCATGGAAAATCTCTTGGATGGTACGCGCGACACGTGTCTCTGTATTGGGGTGTAGACAGCGGCGACAGGAGGAGGTGTGTATACAACACACACGCGCGCGTACACATATACTTGTGCGTCAGGTGCAATATCGCGTATCTCTTTTCCCCCGCGGCAACCGATATATAACGCGCGACGGCGACGACGGACGACGACGACGACGACGAGACGACGACGGCGGCGGCGGCGGCGGCGGCAGCGACATACATACACAACGTATCGTAGCCATAATGTCATCCCGAAGGCTGCGTCTTACTAATTTACAAAGGGTTCGCTCTTCCGTGAAGTACGGAATAGTGATACGGGTAACACTTTTCCAGGCGATACCTGCCGCTACGTGCTACGTTGCTGGCGTACGAGGACGAGCGTTGGTAGGTGGTGGTGCCGCGGCCTGCCTCTGTTTCACTCCCTCTCGCGCACTCTCTCTTCTCGCAGCGCCCTGAGACCCATCACGGAGAAGCATGGCTTCTGGTGCATCCTCCTTGGACAGCGCTGGGAGTAGTGGTGAGTGTGACAATTTTTATTTTCGACTCATAATAGAGAGAACGCAGCCGCGGCCGCGCTCGTTCGATAACGTCTCTCTTTCCACCGCGTCCACGTCGGCTAACGTCAGCGCGTCATTGTATTTTTAATTGCGACGTCAGGACGACCACCACGTCGTCGCCGTCGCCGTCGACGCCGCCGCAGAAATATTTTTATCGGAAAATTCAACTCCAAGGCTCGCGTAGTCGCCTTGAGATGAAATGCACGCGCCTTTCGAGATATTGACTTGTGCATTTTGCAGCGTAACAATTCTGAATTGCGCTCAATATAATTCATAATCTGATTCATTTCCAATGTAATTAAAATTTTAATGTCATCTCACAGTTGTAGAATGACTTTTTTTTTTTTATCGAGGAGAAAAGTAGTTTATCGTTGATAAATAAAAAATATTAGATACAAGAAAGATAACACGATAAATGAAAAATATTATGTTATAGATTCTGATGGAATATAAAATCGAAATAAAATTGTGAGCTATGAAGTCAACACTGCTAAAATTTCTTTATTTCTTTGTATTAACAAATGTTTCGGTTAAATGTTTGGACTAATGTCGTTTCACAATTTTCAGTGTTTATAATATTCTGTACATTTAATAATGTCGAGGTCGGTATGTTATTTTTAATCTTACAATTAAATTTATTTACTACAATTTATATTTGTTGACGCTAATTGAAACCGCTTCTGACATTAATTCTATTTGCGTATCTGTAGAGTTGTCTCGATTTTATAAATTATCACTTTTTACTTCCCTCGATATTATTAAATGTACAGACATGAAAATTATAAACACCGAAGAGGGTTGCGTCGCCGAAACAGTTGTCAAGGAAATAAAAGGAGCAGGAGCATCTAGCGTCGATTTTGCAGCTCACCATTTTACTTGAATTTTCGACACGATAAATGTTACATCATTTAATTTAGAATATTGTTGGCGATTTCATTAGCTGAGGAAAACAATGAATCAAAGCTTACATGCGTGACCTAGAGTTTCTTTCCTGGTGAAAGCTAGCGAGGCCCCTGATTATGTTGTTCCATCTACTGTAACAAGCGATTTTAATTTTTATTGTGAAATTTGACGCGCTGTACGGATTTTATATCCTTAGGACTTTTACTTGTTTCACTTTTGTGCCGCTTTTTTTCGCGCTTCTCTCTTTCCTTTATGATGCGATTAGTATATACGTTTTAAAGTAATACAGGTGTTTATAATTAATTTTCCAGATGGTGCACTTAACATGGGTAAGAGCTATTTTTAAACAAGAGTCATAAAAATACACGTTCATATATATAGACGCATTTGTATAGACGTCATTTTTTCAATAAATTCTCAGTGTGACACCTTTTATTATTATTATTATTATTACACTTTGTAATGCTTGAGAATCATGAAATTGATTATATCAACGATCTGTACATAATAATCTTGTGAAATCTCCGTTCCTTCTTGAGTCTCACACATATCGCATATTACGTTGAAATGAAATGTCTTTCATTTTCATGCACGCATTTTACATTTTACATCGATTATTTCCTTGACGTGTTTGCTGTTGGAATTGGCACTTACGTGTGGCACAAAACCAGAGGGGGATAGCGGGAGCTATGGCAGTGTCGGAAGCCCGGTTGGTGGCCCCGAATGCCGTGGCGACTATGACGGTTTGCAGGCACAGTGCGATCAGGCGATGCGACATCAGATTCAGATACTTAGGCATAAGCACTCCGAAACCATGAGACGGTTTGTTTTTTTTTGTTCTTATTTTGTTTCTGGCCTTGCTTTGCTTCTCTATCTCTGTTCCTCTTCTCTCATTTCTCATTCGAACGTGTGTGTCGTCGTTTTCAGTTATGTACACACTCGTATCTCACATTTCTCTCTTCACGCTTAACACTTTTATCTCATCTTGCGAAGCGTTCGATTCGAAATACATAAAGTAAGATTGTGCATAATGTACTTTAGGTGTGAGCATACTATGAAGGAATTGGAGTACTATCGCGGGCAACACATAGCAGTCATGAATCAACTTGAGGCTACGTCGCAAGAGAATTCTGCGTTACGGGCGAAATATGGCGATCTGGCGAACGACAAGCAACGACTGGACCGGGAGGTCCAGACATTTCAGAAGGAATTGTCGGAACTGCAGCGCATTCAGAACCAGGAGGTTCTCTCCGATGCCGCGGGCAACGATTCCATGAATCAGCATTATTTGTCAGCGTTGCGAAAATACGAAGCCGTGAAGGACGAGTACGATTCTCTGAGAAAACGATACGACGACTTGATAGCGTCTCATTCATCCGCAGTTAATAAGGCAAGTAGTCGACGGTGTTGTTTGTACGCGCCGCCCATTATCGTGCATGTTTCTTTGATATAAGAGTTTAGAAAAATTGCGCTTGCAATACTTATACCGAAATTGCGTGACAAATGCAGCTAGAGTTGTCGCAAGAGGAAGCCAAGAGGCTGAAGAAGCAATACGACAGCGTTCTCGAGGAGCGCAACGGCGCGGTCCGCGAGCGCAACGGTCTCAAGCAGCAGTGCACCGCCGCAATACGCCAGTGGGACATCGCTTTGAGAGAGAGAAACGAGTATCGCGAAGCGCTCGCTAAGGTGCAGCAGCAGCACGAGGAGGCGGTGAAGGAGATCAATCAGGCTATGGTGCTGCGCATGAAGGCCAGCAAGGATATGAAACGACTTACCGAGGAACGAAATGCCGCTCTGCAAGAATACAGCCTGATCATGGGCGAACGAGACACGGTGCACAAGGAGATCGAGAAGCTGGGCGATGACCTCTCGCAGGCGTACGCGAAAGCCACGCATCTGGAAACACAAAATAAGCAGCTCATTGAAGAGGTAATCAAACGAATAACCAGAAAACACCGCTTTTCCATCGTCTAACCAGAAAATATCTCATTAGAATACTTTTTGCTCACATCGATCGCGTTTACTTGCAGAAGAAAGCGTTGTCTTATCAAATCGAGACGTTGAAGAGGGAGATCTCCTCCGCCATGCACGACAGGGACGAGGCCCTGAAGCTGTGCAACGAGCTGCGACAGAAGTTTGGCGATTACTCCGAGGGCTCCAGCAGAGAGTACATGCATCGTTTGGAGCTCAACTCGTTCAGTCGCGAGCGCGACAGCGTCAGCAAGGAAGCTGAGAAGGAGACTAATACGAGAGATTACGCGACGCGAGACAAGCAGCGCATGGACAATCTAGAGCAGGCTAATCTGGAGCTAGATAAGCTCAGGAAATCCGTCGATACGCTGCAAGCGGAACTCGAAGAGGCCATTGAGGAGGCCGAGGTATGCAAGAGGAGGCGGGACTGGGCCTTCAGCGAGCGCGACCGGGTTGTACTGGAGCGAGAGAGCATAAGAGGTCTGTGCGACCGACTGCGGAAAGAGCGCGACAGCGCGGTCACCGAACTGGCCGGCGCTCTGCGCGACTCCGACTCCATCAAGAAGCAGCGGAACGAGGCGTCCAAGGAGCTCAAGGACCTGAAGGAGAAGATCGAGTTCGGCGATCACGCGCTGCGCACCAGCCAATTGGCACAGATCGACGAGGGCAACGAGATTTGGGAGATGATTCCGATTCACGTGGAGCCCGGCAGAGTCTCCTTGGACTCGGATCGCGATCTCGGAGTCATTCTCGTCGGCGGCCGCGACAGTCCGTATTATCCGAACGATACCGGCGTTTACGTCGCGCAAGTTACGCAGGGTTGCGCCCTCGACGGCAAATTACGGGCCAACGACTGCATCGTGCGGGTGAACAATGTCGATTGCACGTCAGTGTCGACGCGCGTTATCTTGGAGACTCTACGCTCGTCCAGCGTCAATCCGACCACTCTGATTGTGAGACGGCGCCGAATGACCAGACGGTCGTTGAGAACCACGCAGCTATCAGTCGGCACCGTGCCGCACGGCATCACTCTCGACCTCGGTATCTATATCTCGAAAATATCGCCCGGTAGCTTGGCCGCCAAGGATGGAAATCTCTCCGTGGGAGATCGAGTACTGAACGTAAGTGGCATGATTTGTAAAGCGCTTAATTTCGATTAAAGATCGTACATTAGAGAGAAATGTAGATTGTGACTTGAATATAAATTAGAAGCTAATTCCAGATTAAATTATAAATATAAATTACAATTCGCGAAATTTATACAGAATTCTAATTTTGATATTAGATGCAGAAATAAAAACTTTGTTGAAAAAGAAACGAAAAGAATTTTGTCGAAATATTCTCTACTGTTGACGATCTTATCATAAAGTTGGGAAAAATTTATTTTTTACACTTAAATTATATACGTTTAATGTAACACAATTTCTGTTTTTTTATTCTCTTCTTTTATCTATTATCTACTTTGCTCTTATTTTGCTGTGACATTTATCTTATGTTGATTTCTGAAATCGCTTTCAGATTAATAGTAAACCGATGGATACTGTAACGACGGCGCATGAAGCGATGGATATCTTGAACGACACGACAGTGGACGTGCTAACGATCACGACGTTGAAGGGTATCCCGGTACCATCCGCCTCCAGCTCGGAGACGATAGACGGCGGCTTCGCTGCGGAAAAGCAGAAGATGGTGAACAGCTGCTCGCAAACCGAGCAGGAGAGAATGATGCTGAAGGCCTCATCGGACGATTACGAGAGGCGATACCTTTCGACGAACTTGGACCGTAGCGTCTACAAAGCCGCGAAATCGGTGAGCGGCGAAAAGTCGAGCGGCATCAGCAACGCCTGGGACAATTTCCGGGAGAAGATCGACATAGTACGCGGCCGCAAGCACAGCAAGGAGCGCGACGACAGCAAGAAGAAGGGCCACCGCAACTCCAGCCCGAACACGTTCGAGCAGGAGCAGGACGCGATAGCGGAGCTGGACTCGGTGATCGAGAGTTACCACAAGAAGGCGAGCAACAGCAACAACGGCGTGCTGAAGCGCAGCAAGCGCCGCGGCACGGAGAAGATGGAGAAGAACGGCGGCACGTGGCCGAAGGCGCGCGGCGGACCTCTCATACAAAACGGGACCGGTACTATTTTACATCCGCGCAAATCGAAAGAACGTTTCCCCCTAAGTGTTCTCCTGCACTCACCGAGATACGATAACTACAATTGCAATCGTATCTCGAATCCCATCCCCCTGACCAACTTTTCCAATGTCAATAATCGTCATACCGTTTACAAAGCAGTGGAGACGCCGCTACCGAGCTTCACCAAGACCGGACAGCTCTTTAGTCAGAAGTCGTCGTTCGCGCCGGCGGTGCAGTTCAAGGACATCCCGATCGACGGCGGCAGTAAGAAGCCGCCGTCGACGGAGTTCGAGAGCAGCGTGTCGGACACCGGGCGGCTGGGTTCCGCGCTGGCGCCGTCCGAGACTAGCATCGACTTCTCGGTCAAGTCCGGCGGCGCCGGCCGCGACCTCGACGCGTACTTTGCGAGCAAACGGCCGCAGAAGTACACGACCGGCGGCAGCAGCGACACGCAGGTGACGACGGATACGCTGCAGCACAATCGCGCGCACTCGCAGCTCTACTCGTCGGGCATCGGCGGTTCGTCTACGTCCGCCGCGTCGTCCGCCAGCGGGCCGGCATCCCGCCAGCAGATCGCGCCCGGTAACTTTCCATTCCCCCCGCATCATCCGTACGCGGCGTCGTCGCACACGCACCATCCGCATCCGCATTCCGCCCAGCACCAGAACTCCCTGCCCTCGCGCTATCCCTCGCCGCCGTCGCTGCCGTCCGCGCAGTCCGGCGAGTCGATAGGCCTGCCCGACGCACGTACCTACTGTTTCGAGCCCCCGTACAGCCCCGGGCCGTCGCAGACGTCCGCGTTCGGCCACTTGCACACTCCCTCCGTAGACCTGCACTATCACAAGTCGCGCGCTCTCTCGCTCGGCATACCTTGCGACACGGCGGCGGCCGTCTACGCGCACGGATACGAAGGCGGCACGCTGCCCGGCCGGAAGGAGGATCAGCGCATTCGTATACCGTCCAACACCAGCGTCACGTCCAAGAGCAGCGTCGGCAAACTCTCCACCGGTAGCATAGAGAGAACGTCGGAGCGCGGCAGCCCGATGCCAACGTTCCACGTGGAGGTGTTGAGCCCGGGCACCGGCGGCAACAGCGGCACCGGAAGCACCATCGGCACCGTGCGAGGAAGCGGCGGCAATAAGCGCGCCAGCATGCCGGACTACTGTTACTCGCAACCGCGCCCAGCGCCCGGCGAGCTACGCCGCGTGCACATCGACAAATCCGTCGAGCCGTTGGGCATTCAGATCTCGTGCCTGGAAAGCGGCGGCGTGTTCGTATCCACCGTGTACGAGCACAGCTTGGCGTCGCAGGTCGGTCTGCAGATCGGCGATCAGCTGCTGGAAGTCTGCGGCATCAATATGCGGAGCGCGACCTATCAGCTGGCCGCCAACGTTCTACGTCAGTGTGGTAACTCGATCACGATGCTGGTGCAGTACAGCCCGGACAGTGAGTATATAGTCTTCCGCGCCGAGACGGTAGTAGATTTCCTAAAAGCGCACTTGAACTCTTTGTTTCCTCGCATGTGTCTCGCATGACTCGCGCCTCCTCTCTCTCTCTCTCTCTCTACTCTTCCGATGTACTGTAAACATGAAGCTCTAAAAAGTCTTTCCTCTACTTTTTCAGGATTTTTTTGTATATTTTTTAGCTTTCGTGCAAATGGCTAAGTATATTTTTCGTCAAAGTGCAAGAATACAGCGTTTCTTGTTTTTATTTGCAAGAATACACCGAACTAGAGGGCTCGGCGTCCTCGAGTTCATCCGAGGCCGGTGACGGCGCGGCGACCGGCAGTCGCAGCGGCTCGCCGACGCCGTGCAACAGCCCGGAGGCGCCTCGCAAGAGCACGATGGAGACGCTGGAGTCCGCTGAGCCGGAACGCGACACTACCACCATCACCATCACCACTACCACCGCACCGACCGTCACCACCACCGCCGCTGCCGTTCCGACTATGAGCACGCTACGCGTCGAGCGGGATATGCGACCGTCCGCTTCGCTGGAGGTGAGAAGCACGCAGGACCGGGAGCCCCATCGCGAGATGCGACCGTCCGCGTCGCTGGATACTGGACGGCTGGACATCAACATCCGCAAGCCGGAACTGCGTCCCTCCGCCACGCTCGATCGATTGACTCGCGCGCAGATGCTGCGGCAGAACGCGCTGAGGAGCCCCACTCAGGAGGATCAGAATCGCAAGCCACCGCCGAGCAACGAGCCCAGATATCTCCTGATCGAGACGAGAAAGTGCTCGAATCTCGGTATATCGCTGGTCGGCGGCAACGGCGTCGGCATCTTCGTTCATTCCGTTCAGCCGGGCTGTCTCGCCGAGGAGGCCGGTCTGTTCGCCGGCGACAGGATTCTCGAGTACAACGGCGTGGATTTGAGACAGGCGACCGCCGAGCAGGCCGCGCTCGAGCTGGCTCGACCAGCCGACAAAGTCACAATGGTCGCTCAGTACATGCACGACCGATACAACGAGGTGAAGGACAAGCCGGGCGACAGCTTCTACGTGAAGGCGATGTTCGATCGCACCGGCGAGGTGGGCGACAGTCTGCAGCTGAGATTCAGCAAGGACGACATCCTGTACGTGGACAACACCATGTTCAACGGCACGCCGGGTCACTGGCGCGCCTGGATAGTCGACTCGACCGGGCGTAGGCAGACCTGCGGGATCATCCCCAGCAAATTCAAGTAATGAATTGATGCTGTAGCATACTTGAAAGAAATTTCAATTGACACGCAATTTAAATACATTTTTATCACAAATTCAATCTGAACGTATCATAAAATATGTTTATTTCGCAGAGTTGAGGAAGAATTGCTGCTACGACGGTCGCTGGGCGATTTGGAGCAAGACACGGGCAAGCGCAGCAATACCAGTGCGAGAAGGAGCTTCTTCCGCAGAAAGAAACACCAGCAACGATCGTCCAGCAGTAGAGACAGCAAGGAGATGCATCTCAGCGCGTCTGGCACGATCAACCTGGGATGGTATAGCGATAGCGGAACGCTGAACGAGGACAGTCTCCCGGCGAGTTATCAGCGCGTTGAGAGACTCGACTGTACGTATTCTTAATTACGAGCACAATTTTTTGCCAACCGCATTCATAGATTTTTGTACATTTTCGCAACTTGGATATACGTTGAACGATAGAGTTTTGCTCCATCTTTGACAATAGATCCCAGCCTGAGACCTGTGCTGATCATCGGTCCGCTCAACGACTGCGTGGCGACGAGGCTTGCGCAAGAATATCCGGGGCAGTTCACCAGATGTCTGGCGGAGGCGATGCATTGTTCGCAGTCGGCCTTGGAGCAAGGCATACGTGACGCAATCTACGTGGATTATAAGAAGAAGGGCAATTACTTCGAGTGCACGACGGTGCAGGCTGTTAAGGATTTATGCGAGAAGGTAATGCGGACGCGCAAATTAATAACGCGCCGTTCAATAAGTATAATAATGTAACGAATAATTCGCGTAGTAACGTAATAAACAGTGATTAATGATATTATTATTTCCTGCTGACGTCATCTGAATGTTTATGTGCGCATTTAGCAATCTATAAACATGTATTTATATTATGTTGCAGAATATACATTGTATTTTGGATGTATCGATGGCTTCCATCGAGAGGCTTCACAGACATCAAATCTATCCGATCGTGCTGTTAATCAAATTCAAGGATAGGACGCAAATTAAAGAGGTGAAGGATTCCAGATATATGAGTGATAAAATCAGTACAAAGGCTGCGAAAGAGATGTTTGAGCAGACGCTCAAGATAGAAGCAGAATATAAGCAGTTCATCTCCGGTAAGCGAATCGTGTTTCTAATTTTATTCACGTGTACAAGAAATATTGACTATTTATGGACACTGACGTTATTTGGTGACATATATTGCCACTCTTTTATTTTAATCTCCAATATGCTATCAATTTATTGGAAATCACACACATTGAGTGAAGAAAGAGTAGAAGATATTAATATATTCAAATATATATTGACAAATTAAACATAACGGAATGAATTATTCTTATTGTAATATCACGATGTGCTATATATAACATTATATAGCCACGGCGAGGATGTTTATTTACGCTTTAACGATATTTCAGCCATAATCCCGGCAGGCGTGAACGTGGCATATATATGCACGCAAGTGAAAGCCTCGGTAGACGAGGAGCAGAGCAAAGCGCTATGGATTCCTAGAGGGGGTCCCTGACACAAAAGGGGGGGTCCCCACAAGCCGCAGTGGAAGTCAATCTAAATTCCACCAGGGGGCCCTTACGTCGTGCACACGTGCAAAAATTGCTATGCAAAATCGAGTCTTTTATTTATGGTCTCTTGATTTTCCGAAGGAAGATACGACACCGCACGCGAATTCTTCATTTAGCGAAGATTCGCCGCTTCCGATCGTGCTAATCGCTCAATTTGGTTGTGATAATACGAATTCTTGCAGTCCATTTTGTTTTAGCGCATTTAACTCGTTGAATTATTGCAAGTATAATGCAGGTACGTTTATTTCATAGTTTTTTTTTTCCGTCGCATTTCGTTCGGTTGCTACTTGAAAACTGAATTGTTTCGCTGTTTTTTAATTATGTGAACTTTTCTTTTGTACTATCCGCATCAGTATGTCAATATATAGCTCATCTGTGATCATTGAATTTATAAAGAAACTATATAATCCGCGAATACAAACACTAAATTTAGGATTTAGATCAGCTTTTTTGAGAAGATCACAAGTAAAATATCGATGAAATTGGTGCTTGCTTTTTCCAAATACTCGCTTGTTGCTACTCGGCTGAAAGTGCTGCCAGACAATTTGTGCTTAACAGCCAGCTTGCTTCGGTCTTTAATCGCGTATAATTAAGCAATGCAACGGGAAATGCAGCTAACGAAACCAATAATTCGTACGAGACCATAAGTGGATCACTAAAAAACTAAAACTCGTCGTATTATGGCCCGTTAGAAAATTGGTGGATTAATAATTGACGAAACGTTTGTTGATTAGATGATAAGCTAGAACCATTTTAATATGGTTTGTATATTATTAATTAACCCTCAAACCAAATTGATGTACAGTATAAAATCAAGGAGAAATTGATTAGATTGTATAGCGAAGTTATGTACAGCGACACTAATATTATATATATATATATATACGTTAAAAAAAAAGAAAGCTACTTATATTTGTACATAATTTATTTACGCAAATTTATATCTACTAATTCTTAGCTCGTATTATTTAAGTTTTGTATATTACTTTGTATTATTTCTTTTAAATGTGTAACAGTTGGGGGAGGCATTTCACACACGCGCACACGAGATGTATTAAAAGGTTTGAGGGGTTAAGGAATTTTATTAAATTAAGGAATTGATAAAAGAGAGGAATTGCAAAAAATGTCAACAGAAATGATGGAATTGACGCGCGCAATATTCCGTTCTTCTTTTTACCGAGATGTAAATACCGAATAGTAATATTTGTAAAGCGGCCAAGCGAAGTCAGCGAGATCGAAACTAAAACACTTACGATTCAATCGTAATCGGTAATCTTCGTAACGATACGCAACGATTACTTTCTTACGTGTAAAATCGAAGTTTTCGCAAATTTATACTATATCGTTCTTAAACGAGCTTATATATAGGCGCTTCACACACGGTGCGGTTTTATGCGAGTTTATATTCTTTAAAAAGAAAAAAAAGAAAAAAACGCGAATCGCGAGATCCGCGAGTATCCGATGCAGTTGTCTTTATATGCTCTTACGTAATATTATTTGTAAATACGATTTTTCTACTGTATCGAGAGATATATGATTTTAGGAGATATTTTTTAAATCGATATAATTAATTTACGGTCGTTTATAGTACGTATGAGTTAACCGTATCTGTACCTGAATCGTGATTTCTTCGTAATTTTTCGTGGAGTTGATTTGAAGATAATAATTTGAACGCGACTTTGTTTTTACGACGATAAACAACACACATATGAAAAGTAACATTCGTAATGTAAAAAATCTACACGGTAATGAAATCTTTTCTTCGCATGAAAGAACCTCTCGACATTACAAGAAATCAACTTCTCATTGCGAATCATCTTCTTACGATACAATTAGATGCAGTTCGGCACTTGTGATAATACGAATAATGATCATCTACGCGAGTCGACAATTTTAGCGATATCTGAATCACGAATCATAATAACGAAGAGTGAGAACGAAGGGGGGAAAAAATGCGGAGAAAACGCAAAGCGAGCTTGTTGGTATCACGCGAAATTTTGTTTTCCAACGAGACAATATGTAGACATAAGTTAGAAGCGAGACCAAAAACTAAAGGAATACTAACGCTAACTCGTAAGGATTGTGATTAAATTTATTCGTACTCCGGTATAGCGTGGCGCATTTAATACAGAGAGCGATAGATATACTTTTTGATATATTCAGGGACAGTCTGCCTGTGCAATCAGTGTTTTTTCAAATATCTCGCGCGCGATAGAACGCACTTGTATTTAAATATGTATAGGGACCAAATATTGGTTGGTGCACACGAAACGGTATAAAAAGGGAAAAAAAATCACAGTTTATCGATGCAAAAGACGTTCGGAGAGAAGCAACGTAGAAATTTCGAAAGCTCACTAATGAACAATTATATTCAATATTCATTTAAATGAATATTATTCATCGAAAAGTATAAAACCCACTTTTCTCAATCGAGAATCGAATTTTCGGGCATTGCTCTTCTTTCGAACAGTTTCGAATGACGTTTGTCGTATGTCGAAAACAAAATTTCAGTAGACGCTCAGTTTTAGAGAACCGAAAAAAAAGAGATACTCGGATGGATCAAAAGGCGGAGAACGAGGAGAGAAAGAAAAAAAAATAATAGAGAAAACTAACGCTATTACAATTACTCTCTCAATCACAGCACTGTGATACTCATAGTATATTACTTCTTCGATGACATATCAACTTATATAACAATCCTTTTACATATATATTATACATTTACGATATGAAACACATATTTTGGGCAATACTTATACATACAGATATGTACGTTATATATACAAACAGCGCACTTTCAATATGTTCCATTTGTAAGCACGTGGTTTTCATGAAAAAAGTTAACTGAATGTACGCGAATATATAAAAAAAAAAAATGTATCAGCGATTTTTTGTGGAGAAACAGGTCGAGTCCGGCACGATTCTCAATATTAAGCTATTAACTTAAAACTCACTAATGAATAGATACTCAGATATTTCCATTGTGTCATCGTTTGACAGTTTCCGTTTGACGTAAAAATAGTTCTATGTACATATATATATATATATATATATATATACTATATATATCTAATATATATATATATATATATATATATATATATATATATATATTTGCAATATCTATATTATATATATAATACAAATTTATTCATAGAACGAATCGAGAGCGACAATCGCACGCGCGGATCGATCGCGAGCATACGCATTGTCCGCGCGCGGATCACAGCTGGTCCTCATTAGTATTCTCCACTGTTTTCTATGACGAACAACCTGCGTGTGCCACCTGTCTCGATCGCACTAATCGTCCGATACACGATAAATAATAATCAGCGCTGGCTGTCGCCGTTCTTTCTAGCGTCACTGTCTCCGCCGTACTACTTATCTGTCCTGTCGGTTTATATTGACTTTGTATCTACATATTATCGTGAACCGGCGAAATGATGCACGCAACTTTCCCTTTTCTCTGTCTTTTGTGTCTTGCTATAATGGGCACAAAAACTGTCAGTTGTTCCAACAGTATCCATTAGATATCGCAATATTCCAATCAAATTTGACGCAAGATATTAGTAATTAATGATGAAAAAATGTGATGTATATCATATAACGCGTGGAACAATTTATTGTAGAACCGAAATTTTCATGAATGTGTATCATTCTGATCAATATTTCTATCAAACATATACTTACGTTTTTACTAAATTATAATTACTAATTCGGATACACGGAGAACCGTTGAATTAAAGAGACAGTATTTAATTAAGTATTACTTTTCAGTATTTGAAATTAAAAGGGAAAGAAGAGCAGAGAATGTTGCTGTTTTGATACGAAAGTGGTATATCACTTTGCCGGTTGACGGGTTCTTACTCTAAGCGAAAATACTTGTCCGTAGTTTGAAGTGTGATATTAATCAATGCATAATCCGAAGGTTGACACATATTAAGCATGCTCGTAGTTTTCATATGAAACTGTTCTTCTCCGTTAATAATAAGGAGTTCCGCGACTACATTGACTCGATTATTAATCGGATATGCAGGGTGCGTTTATTTCTCTCACGTCGACATAGTTGTCCTTGGATATAGGAATAGATTGTGAACCGTTAACAGAGATACACGCGTAGGAGGAGAGGAGATATATACTGTAATTATATAGATATATCATTACTTTTGCAGGCGAAAGTAACGAGAGATGAAACAGAAATGCCTTTCTAGCTGCGCGCGAAGAAATTTATCAATAATAAAAATTCATATTTTCTTCAATTAATTTTTTCAACAATGTATATTTACGTTGGAAAAATTATCCACCAAATTTTCACATGGTTTACAAATTGATATTTTGTGAGACAAACGACGGCATTTACAGCTGTTTTATAGTGACAACATAATTTTACGCGACATAAATGTCTAAGAAAATTACTGAAGTTTTTTGTGTTGAAAGTAGCGTTATATTAAATTTAATCTCAGGTGTTTTTATGTATATCTTTTTTCTGTAAACAGAAAAAAGTCAAGATTAATTTCTCTTCGCGTGCATCTAATTAATTGCGAATGTTAATCGCGAGTTACGAGGAGGGAAAGAAGTACGGTCGATTAACTCTCCGGAGTGTACTTTTTTGCAAAAATATTCCGCTCTAGTTACCCTACGATGGGGGAGAAGCGATTCGTGCTACGTAGAGCATCGTTATAAGCTCGCGTTATTGGCATTTTAATAAAGGTGTGGTCGATAATTCGAGAAACGCTGATAACAATAAAAGCGAAATCGCTGCCATGAGGGATCTCGAGAGCGAGATGTTTGCCGACTAATAATATTATTAAATAGACGAAATCGTGTAATGGAATTTTGAAAAAAAAAAAGAAACTGCTCACATTGTCGAGTTATCGACGTGCTCATCGTTCCTGCTTAATATTTACAAATTGTTATTCGATGATCGATGCTGCATATTTCACAGATGCATAGCGTAGTTGACAGCACGATTTATTCGCAGCCATAAGACTTTATACTACAAGTAATCGACTTATACGCGAGTTTACTATCCACTACAATTTCATATCGAAATGTAAAGTTTTCGCTAAACGCAAAAATTGAAGAAAATCAGGCATTCCCCGAGTAAATTACGATCGTTTATTTTTAAAGAAGTCATTAAATGTTTTTTTCTCTCTAATAATGAGTGATTCGGAGTAAAGAAAAAGATGCAAATTATAAATTTCTATATATATATATATATATTAATATATGTATACAAATTTTAATTATAATTTAAATATTAATTATAATTTCTGTAAATTAATATCATGCAAGTGTGCAATATAGCTAAAAGCCTTCGTGATTTATGTATAAAGTTTCAAGTGAATTTTTCTTATTCATCTAATTAATCAATTCTTCGAAATTGGCTTTATATTATAATTAATGTACATTGTTTTTTTTTTTTAAAGAAACGTTTTATTGCAGTTTCTTTGATTTTGGAAAAAAAAACACTTGAGCATTCTCAAACATCTGAGATATTACGGATCTTTCTGCGAAAGTGATATACGTAACGTAATTACAAATTTTACTGTTGACTCTGTTAGTGCATAAGGGAAGAGGCGTCGGATAATAGGCAGCTCGGTAATGCGTAAGCAATTTAGAATTCGTCGGAAAAAAAAAAAGTGCAATGACCGTTACGCATCACACGCGTGTACACACAGTACGAACCGAGATTTGTGATTGTGCCAAGAAATAGATATTTTTTATACGAATTGGTGTATAGCCGGAGAGTGGCGTTAAACTCTCGAACGGAACGGAATTAGTGTAGACAATCTGGTTAAAAGTAAACTATTTTGTCGGTGCAACAGCGAATTGGACGTACATTTCGGGACGCGCTTGTCCCGAAGGCAATTTTTACACTCCGAAAATGAAACGTCTTTCTCTCATTAGAGTTGTAAAATCGCGTCTTCCTCTCCGCTTCCTTTCCGTCAATTCTAAAACGAAAAAAAAAAAAAGATACTGTTCTCTCGTTTGTAAAAATCAAAGCTCAGTAAATTGTTATGTTTTTTTTAGAAATTTATAAATTTTACTATTTTTTATACAATATAAAAAAGAATTTTTATTTATTTTTTTTTTTTACTGTGAATTCGATTCCATTTTGTTACAAAGCGTTTTATATGTAACCAAATTATTTTGCCAATCAAGCGATTTGGCATGATTTCGAAAATAAAAAGGTTGAATCAATCTCTTTTATTATACGTGATAACATTACACACACAATAATCAATGAGACAAGGTCCCTGACAATCGAATTGTGAAGTACTTTTCGAAGACGTTTTATTTTCTTCTTCCTGCAATGGTTTTGATACCAAATGTTTTAGCTGATATTTATAAATACATTTACATCTCTACCGCTATATCGTTATTACATTAATACACATACGTAGAAAAGGAAAAAAAAACGCGTATTTTCTAGGATATGCGTAAATATACAGAGTGTCGCATGTCGACCAGATCGGAGACATTCTGTGTATACGTACTATATATAATATGTACATATATATTACGACGGGATATGAATAATATGACGTTTGTAATACCATGTAATGAATGTACGACAAGATAATCGGTATTATTGTTGAATTATATTCAGCGCCATGCGCGCGAATGCCCAAAACATAAAAAAAAAGAAGTATTAACGTTTTAAGGATCGTTACTGTTTGTGAACCTTCTTCTTTGTAAGACATACAACGTTGTCGGAGATATGTAAAGGAAAATAAAGTCGAACATAACGAAGCGACGCATTATTCCGATAATCCTGACAGATACTTCATTAATTATTAGTTGAATTATTAAGCCGGTAATATCTCCAATGCAGAGGCAATATTGAGCACAAAAACGGAAGAGTATTAGTAAAAAAATGGCGTATTTTATTCACGAGCCTTATTTGCTTGCAATAGAATTATGTCGAGTGTATATTTTTTTTGTTCATGTTGTGATATTCGTAACATCTATTACAGCAGTGTAATAATTAGTAACGTTAAAATGATTATACATTAGATAGTATAAATTTCTTTCAAACAAAAATGATTCTTAGTTTATTATTTCACTGTATATTTTGTCTGTTAAAGAAAAAATATTATTGGGGACTTAACAGAATTCTGTACATTCGATAAATGTCGATTATGGCAAATGAAAATTTTCTAAAAGAGGATTTTTTATGTGTGTCACATGCATATATGTATAATCTAAAATATATAATCTATTATTAATCGTACTTTTTTCGTAAAGCAACATCGAATATTTTTTTGTTTCGTTTAATGATATTATTCTAATAATTTTACTTGTTAAAAAATATATAAATATCAACAATAAATATGCTTTATAAATATTTATAAATATGAAAATCTGCTTTGACGAACATATATCTGTAACTTCATGCGATTTTAGTGTGCATGAAGATATATTTTCAGATATGTAGTGAGAATCAGTTTCCTAATTAAGAATCCCGTATTGAATCTAAATTTCTTGATAATATTTATAATTGCCGTATCTTTTCGGGTGTTTTCGAGGTATTCAACACACATACTTCATCAGCTTGATATCGTACTCGTCAGAATTTTGTGTATGATCTTATCTAGCAGTTCGTCCTCGCTTACGCGCTGCATTATTTGGCGGCCGGCCAGTCGGAGAAACAACTGGATCACGCGTAACGGTCCCGCGCTGGTGGTTGCACCTTGATTCGCCGTTTGTGCGAAGTGCGTGGCGAACGCGACGCCACCCGAAACTCCAACGGCAGGTCGTAGCAGCGGCATACGCAGCAACTGGGAAACTTGAACCAGTCGCTGAAGATGCCACGGCAATCGTTGTTGGGGTCGAAAGCCAGCAACCGGTGCAGCCGGTACTGCTGTTCGCATTTGCACCCGTCGCGGCAGTACATCTGCATGTTTTCATGCCTGAAACAGAATCGGCGGCTGAAGAAAAAAAGAAAGATGAAAGCCAGCGAGAACCAGACTGGCTGGTAATTAACACAGGATGTTTCGATCTTGATTTCTTAGGCTGAGAGATGTGAATTAAATTGTAAATATCAAGTCATTTTCTTCTCCTTTTAATTTCTCAATTGCCGAGCCTTTTCTCCGCATTTTTCAGAGAGAAACTAATACTGGAATTTCCCGTAGGAATGCTGGACACTTACGTGCACTTTTCCCAATGCACATATTGCTCGAAAGGGTAGTAATTGAGGAGGGCCAAGATCTCGCCGCGTGTGTTATTCGCCCAGAAAGGCGCGACCACCTCTTCCTTCACGGGACAGGCGTTTCTGTACAAAGTAAAAGTTGGCGATTCGATAAGTTGCTCGATATTAATTTTATATGAATTATATTATATTCCTTTCTCATCTCTCCTAAATTTTATGCTATATTTTACATCATTTTTTAAACATGGGCTTATTTTTAATATTCTTTGATTTTAATTTTTAGAGTTTAGAGATTAAAAATAAAATTGCACTCACGCTCCTCTAAGTTTCAACACCTGATCCTTCGCGACGTCCTGATAAAGTTGTCCCGCCGATCCACCGTTCGACGTAGGCCGATGTTCAGGACGCGGTCGAAACTGTTGTTGCTCCTGACTCGCCGCGGCAGTGATCTCTTCGCGCACGGTTGTCTTCACATCGAGCTCATCTTCCTCTTTGTCGACTAGCGATTCCGTGGGGACAATCGTCGTCTCGATGAATTCGAGGGTCGTAACTCTCTCGATCATTTCGTCCGATTGCGCCACCACTTCTGCAGACTCTTCTACGTCCACGTCGATCCTGTCGTTCTGCCCGGGAATCTCGTTGATGCTGAAATTCTGCTCTTTGACGATCTGAGCCACGGTGACGTTCGGCAACGCCGTCGTCGTCGTCGTTGTATTGCTTATCGCAGAATCGTCATCGGTGATTTCGGCAGTGGTGTTCGCGGACTTGGGAGAAGTGGACTTTGGAGAAGTCACGGAAGATTGAGTGTCGACCTCCTCCGTGCTCGTCACAGTGGTAATCGTCGGGGGCGTCATCGAGGTTGATGTTCGCATACTGAAGGTCGTGGCGCTGGTCGACGTCGAGGACGAAGAGGAAGTCGTTGCGCTCGAAGCGGTTGAGCTGGTCGATTGTTCGGTGGGTTTGAAGTACGGCCTGGTGTACTCGCTGAACTTCGGGAACTTGTTCAACCGCTTGGCGATGGGATCGTTGAAGGAGCGACTGATAAACCCGTGATTCTCATACTCGTCTGTGCCCATCTTCGACTGATCGACGACGAAATAATTCTCGTCATATTGGAATCTGCAAATCACGATGCTAGCAAGTTACACATCATGAAATAAATTTTTAAAAAATCAATTCTAATATATTGAATTCAGAATGAAAATATGTTAACGTGAAATTCAGTGAAAACAGAAAGAGACAATTAACAATGGAATATTGTCAAAAACAGTTACAAGAAAAAAGATACCTCGGCGAGAGATCGTCGGCGATGTGATGGTACTCGTCGTATTTTAACTCGATATCGTTCTTTTCAAGTTCCGTTCGCAGGACACTGAAGTAAGTCTCGTCGCCGTACATGCGTCTCATCAATCCTTGATTCTCCTGCACGAATCGACGCACCGCATGCCTAAGAATGAGCACCAGAACATAAATCTGTACTGACAAAGTGAATGAGACGACGCGAATTTTCTTTCAAAGTACTTCTTCGCAGGAAGTATTTTATAAAATTATTTCTAATATTTTTATTAGATATTTTTATATATACAACTCGCGCTCTCTTATTTCTCGATGTTCCTTTTTAATTTTGACAAGTAAAATAAAAAAAAAAGAATAAATTTTATTCAGAATTAAAATATATCAAAGTGAAATCTTTTCTAAAAAGAGATTGAAATTTTTAAAATTTTAAAAGTAATCGTAGTTTCGAAATTTTTTTAGATTTCAATTTCAAATAAGTTCCTTTCGGTCCACTTTTGATTCGTCTACTTTTGGACGACAGGTGATGCCGGAACTTTCGCTACAAACAATGCCGCTTAGCCTGCGCGAGCATATGAATAACGGATGGGCGAAAGTTCGAGGAATATCAATCATTAAGTGCGGAAGAGACGAAGCGCAAATGGACGAAGTACCAAGGATAAGAGCTACCGGCGATCGTGCACCAGTTCTGTCGGCGAAAGTCACAGGGCAAATTTTCGTAGTGCGCGCGTCCCACGCGCGAGTGCGGCTTGCTGCAAGCCGAGGATGCATCGTATCCAAATGTGCTCGGCCCACCGCCGCCGCCTTGACATTCCGTCAACTGCTGCAGTGCAATCACCTGTGCGAACGGACCAAGAATCATAAAGCTAAGTTTTTTCAGTTATTTCATTTGATTAAATATTCTCCAAGAAAAATATGTAAAGTAATTCTTAGGTCATTAATTGATAAATAAATAAAAGTGGAGAAAAGGTGAATTGACGAGCAATGAAAAAATGAATTTTTGACTGAAAATTGAGTTTTATTTTTAATCGCTTAAATTGCTAAATGACACTAATTAATAGTGGAATTAGAAATTAGAAGGTAATTAGATAGCGTGGAAAAGTAATCAAATAGAAAAACTAAATAACTCGTATTCTTGCAGATCAGATAATTAAACTTATCTGTTTTTGATATAAAAAAACAAATATAATTTTGACAAGTTCACTGTTCATTTGTGTCCACGAAAAAAAAAAAAAAAAAAAAAAACAGGTATTTACCGTGCAGGCGCTCACCTGGAGAACGAAAAATACATAAATCGCTCTCATAACTCGTGGATTTTGAATTCGTTGGTCCAGCGACTGGACCCCGCGGCCGGTGACAATTGTCGACGACAGCTCGTTATCCTTCGTGAAGTCACGCACTCACGGTGTCGCGCTGCTACGCGCAAGCAACAACAATAACAACAACGAACGGCGAGTCGGTCTCATTGACGACTTCCGTGAAGATGCGGCAGAAGACGCGGAAGGCTACATGACAGACGGCGGCGACACGCTACCTAACTGCCGTGTGCAAGCAGGCCGCTTTCATTACTGCCCGTAATCAGCCGCCCGCCCATGCGACGACCCATGCGATCCTTCTCACGTGGAAGAAAAAGTGTAGCCCGCTGCCGTACGGGGGAGAAGATGTTAAACAGTAGCGAACGACGATCTCGCCTCGCCCACGTCCTAATCGACCGATTTCCGGTGGCATACGTGTAACTGCGATCGATCGGAAAACGGGGGACGCTCATTTCGCAGCGGCAGCCTGCGGAAGAAAACTCCTACTTCAATATCTGTTACAAAAATGTAGAATTTAGCTCTTTTAAATTATCCAAATGATGTAGTCTTTCGAAGATGCTTATCTTCTCGTTTTACTTTTTATGATTGCAAAGTATATCATGCACTTCTCTTCCGCTAGATATTACAAAAATGCACGGACATGAGGTGATATTTTTCAAGTTCTGGATCTTCGAGGTACATTTGTATAATAATAAATACATTGTATGCACCTGTGTGCCGAGTTATTCGGCCCTGGACGAAAGGAGAGTCCGGGGAGAGACATGAGGCGAAGAGAGGACGAAAGAGGAAGACCGAGAGAGCGCGACTTCGCCGGGAAGTGGGTCACGCCGAGGTGTACCGTTATAGTTGCCGTCTGATCTGTGTCACGAGGACCCCGCCAGTGACGTAGCCTGGGTTACTCCTGAAATGAAGAAAATCGTCATACCGTCGAAGGAAACCCTTATCCTTCGATGTTTCGGCGGCTTCGATCTCGAATTAAGAATCACACGATAAAGATCCTGTCTTACATGCCGCTTGGGACAAAACACGAAAGAAGAAAGCTTCTGAACTTTATCGTAGTACCTGCAGGTCCCGCACGAGGACGAAAGGCAGATTCGCCGTCGCGCAAATCAATCTGTCGAGAAATTAGACCTTGGGTCTTTAATCCAAGAGAGCAGCCTACGCCGTTGCCGGTGCGTGTTTACAAAAAGACACCGGGCTGGTCGTAAATGACGATTTAAGGTTTATAGCGAGACTCGCTATGCGCGCACACACACGTGCCCGCGCGGTCTACTGACCTCGAAAGCACTGTCACTTGGACGAGGGAGACTCTTTCACTGAATTTCCTCGCCTTTTGAAGATGCCGCGATGCTGTTGTCGGTGCGGCGGTGCACGCCTCTTCCGCGTGTTTCGCTTTTGAACAGTCGAGGAACCAAACGACCGGCCGGCGGCTCGTCGATGCGTTGGAATCAAAAGATCAAGAGTTTCACATTCTTCGATGACGAACCAAACGAGAGGCCGATAATTCGAGTTAACGTCGACATTTTTCCAGCTGCTGCAGTCTCACATGCAACTTCTGAAAAGATTCAAGGCTCTCATTATTTCCGCGATATATTAGAATAAACAATGAGAGTGTGTGTTGCACTGCTTCACAAAGCTGTGGCCAGCTGATCAAACTCGTCTCTCACGACGCATCAATTAATGATGTTGCCACAGCGACCGCTTAGTTAGTGACGATAACGGCATTCCGTTAGCTCGAATAGCATTGAATTATTGGAGCATCGTTTTGCACGATTACTGGTTAGCGAAATACCTGTTCGCCGCGATGGAAAGACGGTGAACGCGCTGGTTTGTGTGAACATACTACTATACGTTTTCTCTTTTTCTTCTTTCTCTCTCTCCTTCCTTCTTTCGTTACTCCGGGCAGAAAAGAAAGCCAACTGTCATCGTCGTCATCGAGGTGACATATTGTAACCTGGCAATAAACGCATTCAATGTCACTATTCGAAAATTTTTGCTTTTCAGAAAACAATTTTTCTAAATGTTTCACTGCGATTCAAAAATGAAAGCTGTAGTCTTACGATTGTAGCGCATTTTTCTTCGATTTCTTCTTTTCATTCTTTTGTTTTATCAAAGTAAGCGATCTACGAAAGTAAAAAACATAGACGACAAAGCTACTTTCTTCAGCAAATGGAATAAAACATTAATTCGAAGCTCGATTATACGTAAAAATATAAAATGTAAACAAAAATGCGTGCGAAGAAAACACAGCGGTTTCAACGAGCGCAACATTACTGCTAGTGTCATCTGCACCGATCTCTTGCAACTTGCAGATGTAGTTTAAATCTGCAATTATCTTTAGACGATTATTCAAAATTTTGCACAATAAAAAATACCAGCCTTCTTCGATAGATGGCACTGTAATCTTTTTTCTGCAATTTTGAATTCACCTCCAACCTCCAACTTGTCGTGCAGTGCCTTTCTGCTACCATTTCTTTATTCTTTTTTCCATCAGTTCGCGACTTTTCTGATGCGTTGAACGTAATATTTACTATCTAAGCGGCCTGGAGTCAAGTAAGCATACGATAAATCGATTGTTTGAGTATGTATTTTGTAAAAAATTACCATACGTTATTGTGTTGTGAAAACACCATCGATTTATGATCTACTATTCCCGACAGTTTAGCGAAATACTTTGTACTCGTCACGATATTGAACAATTTTCACTCGTTTTTCGTATTCCTTCACGCCTGTTTTCTACAACTTATATAATGTTTACAGCTGATCCAGTTATTTCTTACATCCATGGATTTCTCGCATTCTTTCTCAGCTTATAACCTCTGGAAGGTTCACCATGCCATCGACAGAGGACGCATAAACCGGCTTTTCGCAGATCGGATTTGCACCAATTTTGCACTCGAAGATGCTCCAAGCCGCAGCTCGACGTGTAAATCACTATGGAAAGGACATTTGCGAACCGCTCCTTCCCTCTGCTTTCCATGACCTATCGCGCGCTCTCTGTCTTCCTCTCTGTTTCTTCTGTATTCCCAACAATCTCTAAAGCGTTGTAGCTTTCGTCAGTGGTGCTTCAATTTTTCCCACAAAAATCAAGCTACAAGGTATCTCAATGCTATAGTGAAACATCATTCATTTCAAAGAAATTCAAAGATATTGATTTTAATTTAATTCAAAATTAATGATCAACTTAAAAGAAATGTTTTCTAAATCAATAAATTATTTTTTCACATGACCACATTTTACATAGACACATGTCTTGTATGTGATTTTTGAAAAATAAGGATTTTCAAATAATATTCTTTCTAAAATGATTGGTGTTGATTGGCGAAAAGCATCACATTATGATATTTTTAGCATATTGTTTGATTGTATTAATTTATGTTATTTTTTTTATAATTATTTGTTGTTTGCTTGATTTCTAGCAGCTCTCTAATATTTCGGATTTAGATGCCTAACACTTCTGTATGATATTTGCTACAAGATTCGTGTGATAATATAATAATACTCAGAAACCAGAAAGTGTCTAAAAAAATTAGCACAGAGAAATAGCATAGAAGGATTAGCACATATCTTAGGTATTTGTATTGTCTAAAAAGTGATGTAACTAGTTAGGAGAACAAAGAGGTAATACTTTTTCATATCTGTTTAGCATCAAAAGTTTAATTTACTGTAATTATAACTAATATATTATTATTTGTATTTCTATATAGTTAAAAACATAGACAGGACTTTAAGCATCATATTTGATTGCGAATTAACAAAGTGACGCCGCACCTTGGACGAACCACTGCTGCGCGGTAGCTTTTCTCTCAGGATGCTGTAGGAGAAAGATAAAACAAAGATGAAGTTCAAGGTTACGCTCGCTATTGCGCAACACAATCGACGCTCTGTATATATCTGAGAATTTACAACAGCATATACAAGGTATTCAGGATTTGAAATACAGCAGTACACAAAGCATAAAGAAACTCTCACAAAGAACTGAAATTGTGAAAGCAAAAAAGACTTATTGCCTTTCAAATTTTATTGTCGTGTTTGAAGAACCATATATGTTTTATAGTGTTCAAATCTTTTGAAATCTTTATCAAAATAAATCATAACTCAACTGAAAAAAATATATTTTTTAATTTTTAAACAAAGTAATTTTTATTTTTAATTTATATGGAAAAAAATTTGGTATAAAATTTTTCATAAAATTGTGCAAAAATTTGGTGTAAATTTTTTTTTGCATAAACAAAAGAAATGTTAAAATTTTTTCTTAATTTTATTATCATAATTATATAATAAATCAATTTCTTACTATGAAAAATGAAGATAGTCATTTTAACTTTTTTCTTCTGTGTGACTCATTTCTAACATGTCTCAGATTTATGATTTCAGGTAAAGAGACATTCTTCACCTATGTTTTGTTCTCAACAGTGACGCTCAAATTTTCCAAAATCAGTATCACAGAACTCATTTGTACGTGTTTTAATGTTATATGTATAACAGCAATAACACGACATTACTTTCGCGCGCTGATAAAAAAGAATCCGGCACTCATCTCGCTGATTCGCGGAAACGGAGCGAACGAGAGCGTTTTATTCGAGAAAACGGCATTGCCTTCCGGTATATATCTCCTCTCTAATAGCAAGAAAGAGAGAGAAAAAGAGAAAGAACGAGAGAGGTACACACGGTTCTCCCGCCACTCTACGGCTGCTGTCCAGAAACGTCTCTCAGCGGTCGCTTCGCTCTCCGCTCCTCGCTTCGAAAATCGCATCTTTCTTTGTTGTGATCCCCGGATGCCTTGGGAAAAAGCATCCCTTCTCTTCCCCGCCCCTTTAAGGGCCTCACCGGCGGTAACTGCTTGCTCGGCCGAGGAGAAACAGAAAGGGAGCGAGACGACGAAGCAAGATCGCAAGACGAGGAGGGACCGCGGGACTCAAGTGTGTGGAGGGAGAGCGGCAGTGCGGGCCTCCCCTCTCTGAGAATGCCCTGCTGCTAATGCCATTCCCGACGAAGGATCATTTTGCTTTCCGGTTTCGTCGCCGACGTTTGTGCCTCACGGATGAAGATTGAAGAGAGACTGGCAAAATCACCGCGAAGATCAGTCCAACAGAGATCAACAGTGGAAGACAACAAGATCCCAATCGCCCCGTCCAGCGGCCCTGGATGGGTTTGAATTCAGTCCACGTTGTTCGATTATATGCGTGACTAGATCCACACTCATCCAAGGATACTGGACCTGTGCAGAGGCGAGGACCTGGATGCGCCGCGCGCGCGCGCGCGCGCACGCGTTCGCTCGTTCACAGACACCTGTTCGTCTTCTCGTAGGCTTCTTCTGGGAAAAAAAAAGTGATACGCGAGGTAAATGCGAGGAGGAAAAAAAATAGGAGCGGGGAAGAGAGAGATTCCGCGCTCCGAAGTTGCGCGTCGGTGCCACGAGGTAACGGTCGCGGGCGTGAGGTCGCAATTTCTCACGGATCTCCATCACGCAGATTCGAAACCGGTATAATAATCTCTGTGCGCGCGCGGCCGACACAATACCTAAATAGCGTCATCGCGAGCGCGTCGAAGGACGTTCTAGTCCTCGAGATATTCTTGAAAGCCGCCGCGACTGTATCACGAGTGTATGTTTACACAGTCGAAGCTGTTAATTTCTCTCGTACGTTATCAGTCAAGTTTTTTTTTTTTTTTGTACTTCGAGAGACGAGCGGAAATGAAACGTTCGCGACGACGGGAACGCAGCGTCGGAAATTGAGAACCGAATGGAATTTTACCAGTCGCAAACTCTCGCCAGAAGTTTGTGCCCCCCGCGCGCCGTTTTGGACACGTCGAAGCCCGCGCAAATTCGTCCGTTACCTGTATTCCGCGGTCCTTTAAAATATGCGACGGAGATGCGAGCGACGCCGAACCATCGTACGCGCTCGTTCGAGTCTTGTAAAATGAGCCTTTATGATCGCCCTTTATTTTCTTGCAAATTTTCCGTTTCAGCTTGGCCGCTTCGACGCTGATTTACCCTTTGTCTTTCTCTCTGCTTCGCTTACAAACGCATAAGTGAAATACACATGCATATTATATTTCTTGTTGTATTAAAAGGATGCACATGCATATGTGTACATATATTTGATCGCGAAACACGAATGCTGACGAAACTCAATGCATTCCTGAGCGCCGGAGCCAATGGCTGTGGGATTCCCTTTCAGTTTCTTTGTGTGCGAACACCTGCCGAGCTTTCCCCTCCAACCTTCTCCCCCTTTTGCCTCTGCAGCGGCAACAATCCCGCCCTTAACCTCTCCCTCCCCCCCTCCTCT